CTGTTCAGTGTCCATATGGAAAGATGAGGCCTCAGGAGTGAGAGCCCAGAGAGCAGCCAGCCAGCCTGCCAATCATCTTTCTCAGGCTGCAACTGGAGCAGAATTGACAGATACCTGATCTTGTCACCTTCTTCAGGATTAGGGACTCCACTAGCCCTTGAATAATGAATCTACTATTAGCCACAAAATGGAGGAGGTTGTCTGTATTTTGACTCCAAGAAAACAATTTAAAAGGAAATAAGTCAACAAGTGAACCTAAAAATCAAATGAATAAAAAAAACCTGATGAACAGAACAGAATGTAATAGAATCAGGGGCATGGAAAGGGAGCATACTGACTATTCTCAGGGGTAAGAGGTTGTGGGGGGTGCGGGAAGAGATTAGACAAAGAGCTTATACCTATGGACGAGGTCAGTGAGGAGGGGGGAGACCTGGAGTGGGGTGGGAACCGGGGGGTGGGGGGGAGGAACATCTGTAATAACCTGAACAATAATACTTTAAAAAATAATAAATAAAATAAAAGGAAATAAGGCTTCGACACTTTCCCAGGCCAGGCACATTAGGGCATCCGAAGCAGCCTTCACTCAAGTTCTTCATTCTACTGGGATTGACTGCATGTTGCCAGTGTCCTTTCAGTGGATGATTTAAAACAAAACACAGTCATTTGGTTCATTTGTGTTTAGTTCTGTACTGAAAAAAGAAAAATGTAACTTTTTCTTTTTTCTATCTCTACATGATGCTTCCCATCATCAGTTATTACCTACCCCTGTAGAATCCCCAAAGTTACCTTTTGACTCCGCATTTCCACTCCTAGGTGTATACATAAGAGAAGGGAAATCCTATGTCCACAGAAAACCTGTGCACAAACATTGATGGCAGCTGACGAGTAAAACAGCTGGGCCAAATGGTGTGTTTCTTTCCTGGCTCAGGGCAGTGTCCTCTCACAGGTGAGCAGCCTGGTACTCAACCAAAGGCACAAGGAGACTTCCCCTACAATCTCTGGAGCTTCCTGTTTACTTCCCTCCTCTCCAGATTCCAGCTATATCAGCATTCCCAAATTCCTGTCCCTGTCCTTCACTCAGAAAGACTGACTGGCTGTGTTTGGGCTCCTTCTTCCCATACTGCAATTTATAAACTGCATGTTCCCAGGCTCACCTTGCTCAGTTCCCTTCTCTCGGAGATCACAGGCCAGTGCTGCCTGGTGCCTGGTGTCACAAATCACTAAATCACATATTTGATCTGCTTCCTTTAGCTGCTTGGTCCTTTCGATCTGCTATCCAATCAAGACTGAAAGCGGGAGGCTAGCTTCGCATGCTTTGAACTTGATAAAAATGGATCCACAGGCCATGTGTTCTTTTGTCTCTGGTGTCTTTTGTTCAACGTCATGTCTGTGTGGACCAGCAATGTGGCTTGAAGTGGCATTGCTTCTTCATTTTCACTGCTGGTCGGTATTCACAATTCAACAAGTGCTCACTGATTTATTGCCACGTGTGCCAAGTTCTAAGGATAGGAGTTTTCTCGAGAGGTGCCGGATCCACTCTCAGGAACATAAAAACTAGTGCAGGATTCGGCAAACTACAGCTCATGGGCTAAACTCAGCCAGCTGTCTGTTTTTTATATACCGTATTTTTCGGACCATAAGATGCACTTTTTTTCCCCCAGAAGTGGGGGGGAAAAGTCCCTGCGTCTTATGGTCCAAATATAGCCTACACATATACTTTAAAAAAAAGTTTTTTTACTTGCCCGGCTCTGTGTGGTCTCTGTGTGCTTGCCCGGCTCTAAAATGGTTCTAAATGCTGCTGTTTACTTTACAGGGTTGATGACATGTATTTATGACTGTGATGTTGGGTTTTAATGCACATAAAATATTTTAGGACACTATTTGTTTCAGGATCTTTTTTTCTTCATTTCCCTTCTCTAAAAACTGGTGCATCTTATGGTCCGGAGCGTCTTATGGTCTGAAAAATACGGTAAATTGTATTGGACACAGTCATAATTATTTATTTGTATATTATCTATGGCTGCTTTTATGCCACAGTGACAGTCGAGCAGTTGTGACCGAAACCAGATAGCCCACAAAGTCAAAGACATCTACCATCTGGCTTCCTATAGAAAAAATTTGCTGATTTCTTATCTAATGGATATTAGCAGCTTCTCACTGTCACAGAGCACAAATGTAGGTACTGAGGCTCAAAGAGGCTAAATGGTTTACCTACACTAGGCATTTACACCCAGATTTGCCCAGTGGTGTGCGGGTAAAACCTAAGAACTGGTTATCTTTCCTAGCCCTACCCCTCCCCCCAAAAAAAGGTATGAATATTATACATTTTACCTTTATTATCCTATATAATAAAGAGCTAATATGCAAATGGTCATTGTGCCCTCACGCCCTAGCCCCGGTGCCAGGCTGGGGATGAGGGAGGAAGAAGGACCTGAGGCTGCATGCCCCACCTGGCAGGGGGTGGGTCTGGGTCTCGTGCAATTTCAAGGTACAGATGGGGTGGACAGGGATTTGACTCTGGGTTCCTCCACACATCCCAGACTCTGACAGGAGGGAGATCTTCATATATATTTTACTAATTTTCTTTCATCTGACATTTCTATCATAGAGAAAGGGCAAATAGCAATATTAAAATATTTCCTCTAATTAATTCCCTTTTAATGTGTATGACTTTTGTGTACCAGTACATTATAAAGGATACAATACCCCATTTTACAAATAATAACAAAATGTATAATATTCTCTTTTTTTATTCTAGCTTTATACAGTTCTGTATATATTGCCACAGTTTTATGGGCCTACGGTAGAGGAAGTGGGAAGTGGGGATGGGGAACAGCTGCTAATAAGAATGGGGTTTCTTCTGAAGAAATTGAAAATGTTCTGAAATTAGATTAGGTTATAATACTTTATAAATATACTCAAAACACCACTGGATCAAAGAGCTTTTTGCAGGCAATCTACTTTCTATCTCTATGGATCTGCTTATTCTGAACATTTCACATCAGTGGAATCTAACATTATATGGCCTTTTGTGACAGGCAATATTCTTTATTGTGAATTCCATATGACCCATTCATTCTCAATGATTGCTTTGCTTGATTTTTGCTGAACTCTTGATTACAACTGATGATCAAATGCAGTTCCAACATGGGTGATGATATTTTCATTTATATTCAGGAGTAAAGAGACAAACGATGAAGAAGTATATATACTTCATCAATGATATAAACTTTGCTGACTAGCATACTAGTTTTTGAATACTGAAAGAATATTTTCTCAATATTTTATGCCATTCACAGTATAACAGCTATCAACACAGCACTCTTTAAGTTTAATCTTATTAACAATTTCTTCATTTTTTAAATCCAGACCAGGACTTTGCAACCTTTTTCTTAAAGGAACCCATAGTAAAGATTTAGGCTCGTAGGTCATCCAGTTTCTGTTGCATCTGCTCAGCTCTCCCGTTGGGGCATGAAAGCAGCCATAAACATTTATGTAAATAAATGGATGGGGCTGTATTCCAGGGAGACTTAATTTACAAAAACAGATTTCAGGCCCACAGGCTATAGTTTGCCAACCTCTGGTCTAGACAATCAACAAAATAAATAAAAGACCTGACTTATAGTGTTTATCAATTTCTAGGACATTAAAAACTCCCACCAGGATTCAAGCTGCCAGTATGACATCAGTGAATGCAAAGTTAGGAAGGAATGCACAGTAGGAGGGTCTGATAGTGTTCTACCACTAAAAGGAGATAGACTAATAAAGCTTTGGAAGTATAGTTTTTAATACATGAGACCCACTGTGTATGTAAATCATATTCTATCTTTCCACATAAGTACTGATGGGCTTTGCTTGGCCATTTTCCCTAAAGATAAGGTATAAAGGAAAGAGAAATGTTATATATCTTTATCAAGCTAATAAACATTTTGGTAATAGAATACAAATTAATCTTTTGAGTGGCTGAAGGTATTGTATTTTCTTATGAAATGATGAATATTGAATAAAATTGTCTAAATAGATTTCAAGGAAGGAAAGTAAGTGTCTAATAAATGCATGAACAAACCTCTAGCAACTCATCCCTTTCTGCGATCCAGAGAGAAGTAGTGTTCATACCAATAAAGCAAATGTATTTCTCTAATTTACCCAGTTATATTGAAATTCAGTGACAACTAAAATATCCAAACCAAGTGTCCTCAATAATGCAACAATATAGTTTATTTTAAAATGGTAATCTATAACACTAAAATATTTTGATGGTTTACATAATCTCTTCCTACCTTTCGATAGCCAGAACTCAGACATCAGACTCACAGAATAGCATGGGGGCATGGGACGTGTAGCTTTCCTGTGTGCAAGGAGAAAGAAATGGAGAAGGGAAATATCTAGCATTACTTCTGCCAAGTCTGCCCCATCTAACCACCTAGCCACTTAAGCCAAAGCAATACTGTCCATTGGTTCTTATCCTCTTAGTCTGGAAATTTATGAAATAAGAACAAAAAAATCATCAGTTGCATAAATACCTTGGGTACTGGGAGGGCTCCCACCCTTGGGGGCAGGGAAAGTTCCTGGATTGGGCCCTGATTCTGCCTCTGGCTGTCATTCTCTGTGGCCCTTTTCTCATTAGGAACTCTGAACTTTGTTCCCCTTGGGCACACCTGACCTAAGTGTTGGCAAGCATGTCCCTTTAGTAGGGAGGTTATAGAGCCTCTGAAAACTCTTTTCTAGTTGTGAAGATTTGGATGCAGGGGTTGTTTTAGTTAACAAACTGGTTGAGGTGTTGTTTTTAATCAAATTTTTAATTTTTTTTTTTTTTTTTTTTTTTGTCAAAGCAATTCCTTCAGAAAGCTAAGTTTACAATGTATTTGCTTTCAATCAATGGACAGAGGCATTGGTGTGGGTGAGCTGAGCTTCATACCCATTAAAGGATCTGGCTTACTCTTTGAACATGACTGCATTGTTACCTGGGCATCCAGCTGGTAGATGGGGTGTTGAGGGAGGGGGGAGGGGTGCAGAGGATTACCCATGGAGATTTTTATAGACCAGGCCCAGAAGTGGCCCACATCACCTCTGCTCACAACCTATTAGCTCTATTCTCAAGGGAGGTAGAGAAGTGGAGTCTAGCTGTGAGTACTGGAAGAGTGGGTTATGGGTCTGGTTGTGTACATTCATATTGATGCTCAAACATTAAATCATTTGTAGGGACAGACTGGACTCCACACTCTGGAAGTCCTAGCAACAGCTACTAAAAATAGAACTCCTCCTCTGTGTTAGTCAGAAAGAACCTCTCACTTCTCTGCTGTGACTCTGTGTCATCTCCGCTCTGCCCTCTGCATGAGCAGCTACTGACGACAAACGCAGTACAAATGGACATCAAAGAGAACAAAGCCAGCCGTGTTCCAATAAACCTCAGCTGTCTGGATGCACCTCTAATTCCTCAAGTTCTGAGCCCAATGTTTCTTGGAAGTGATCTCTTTAAAGCAAATCAAGCTGCAACGCACTTAGCATTCATCATCTCCTGCTTTTATGTTGCTCTGTAGAAAAAGCTCTGAGGCTTCTTGTCAGACCCTTTGTTGTTGTTGTTGAATAAAACACATTTGTTTGGGGGTGGGGGATAGAAGATGGTAATGTAGAAAAGAGAGCATGAGTCCATTACCCCAAATATAATAGGGCCATTCTCCTTTGTGTGATGGGCTGTCATTATAGCCCAAATATCCTCACCCATGGCCATTGTCTCTCCTATAGAGAGGCTAATCTCACAATGGAGGGCTTGTCATATTCAAGATCCTGGAAAAACCACAGGCATTGATCCAAACCAACATTTCTTAGCCAAAGAAAGTGTATGCATAACCCATAGACACAGACAGCAGTGTGGTGATGGCCAGAGGGAGAGAGAGAGGGGGTGAGGGCCAGGTGAAGGTAGGCAAAGGGAGGGAAGGAGAGGAAATGAGGACATCTGTAATAATGTAAACAATGAAAATAAAACAAAGGAAAGTAAAAGAAAAACAAAAGAAGAAAACACTTTCTCAGCTTAATGAAAGCACATGGAACACTTAGTCATTGCATAGTAATGTGGCTGAGCTTTGTGCCCTAGGTGAGGTTTATATGAAGTCTATGACAAAAATGTGTATGTCTTCCCTGTTGCTTTTGAGGATAATTCACCTGCAGAAACCATTTAATGGCAGTTTGTCATATATTCAAATTAAAACGCTTTTTGTAATATGTGAAATGTAAAACGCATGGACTATGTGATTCCTTTGCAAGTCTCGTTCCTTCCTCACTGTGAGTGCACATCAGCCGTAATGTTGTAGCTGTTGACTATAAGTGATGGTAACTAATTAGAATTCAGTAACTTTGGAGGCCTATGCCATTGCTCACGCTTTACGTTGACTAGCAGTAGTTGAGATGTGCTATTTTAAACCACTGAACCAGAGAAAATGCAAGTTACCTATGGTTGGGATGGATCAATAACAATAAGTATGATAATAACCTTGATAAAGTCTAAAGACACTCCAAAAAAGAGTCAAAGGGCTAGAGAAAAAGTCTTACAGGTATGCAATATAATAATAATTTCATCAGGTAAAAGCAGAAGTTTGAAAGAGCACAAGTGCCTCACTTGCACCCCGCAGCTGAGTGTCTTTCCATCAGTGGAGCTTACTCTGTTCCTCTGGGTTTGTGACACCAAGCCTGGTCAGGCTGGGGAGGGGAGGGATTCCCAGCTGGATGGTAAGACCGGTCCGAGGTTGGTTGTTTTCTAGCTACCAAGCAACCATTGGATGGTATAGGTAGTCGAACCATCTTATCCAAAATGAGAAAATTTTACCCCATCAGCGAGGTAGTCAAGCAGTTAGGGAGGAGCATAGTCAGTATTTACTGAGCATCAGCTATATGTGAAACGCCATATTGAATGCCTAGAAAATGGCACAAAGTGGCATGTCAGTAGGGGGAGGTGGGGGAAGATGTGGGCCTGACCTTAGAAATCAGCAGATGTGACTTGAATTATTTAATGTGAGTATAATGTCTCCTGCAATTCTCACACTTGTCTCAACAGACTGTGTATTCCTGAAGGACAGGAACTCCAAAGAGATACAGCACGGTATGAGGAAAAACTCGGGGTATGGGGGAAATAGCTTAGCTTTCCGGTCAGGTCAGCCTTCTTTGGTTCTGCTGAATTTCACCTCTTCTGAGCCCCATGTTTTCCCTCTATATAATAAGTATAAAAGCAATGACCTCGAAGGGTTGTTTCTACTCACATTAGATGCCCAAGGGTAGCTTCTCTTTCTCTGGGAACTCGCTGATAATAGATGCTTGATAGAGAAATGAACAAAGGACATTTTGTAGAATTGTAGAATGTTAAAATTGGGAAAGCCTTTCAAAATCATCAAGTTCAACTATCGCATTGAATTTAATTATATTTTTCCTTTTCTTTGAGTTATGAATTGATGGGAGAAGAGATGCTACTATCAAAACATGATGACATCTTGTCTATTACATGGGAAAATATAAAAAAAGGATGAGAAACCAAATATTGGTGAGGGTGTAGAGAGACTTTATTCACATGCCTAACAAGCCTACACAGGGTGTCCCAAAAACATAGATATACACCTTAACAGCTGATCGCTCAATTTTGAAGATGAAATGTATTTTCATAAACGCTGCTTTTATAATTATTCAAAGTGTGTGTACACTTTTTGGGGCATCCTATATAGATTGACTCAATTTTCCCAGGATGCAGTCTGGATGATTGCCCAATTGCACAAAGATATGTATGCAAACTAATCTTTATTGTAGTGTTTCTCATAATAGCAAAATGCTGGAAATACTCTTAATGTTCTTAAATAGGGGGGTTTTAAATAAATTATTGGTACATCTATGCAGTAGAGTGTATGATTAATCTATATTAATTGGTATGGAAAGTCTTCACAATGAATTGAATGGGAAAAGCAGATCACAAAACATGGTGCTGAGCAGCACTTTATTTATATGCATTTAGTAAGGCACACAAGTCTCTCCCTAAGATATTCTCAATTTGAAAAAGTCATAAAAATAAAAATTCCTTTATGTTTCCCAATTTTATACTCTTCTAAAATGCATAGATTAGCTACTTGGCAAAGGAGGCAAGAGCATACAATGGGGAAATGTCTCTTCAATAAATGGTGCAGAGAAATTGGACAGGTACATAAAAAAAATGAAACTAGACCACCAACTACACCATACACAAGAATAAACTCAAAATGAATAAAAGACTTAAATGTAAGTTATGAAACCATAAAAATCCTAGGAGAAAACATAGGCAGCAAAATCTCAGACATCTCTCCTAACAGTATGTTTGCCAATACATAACCTAGGGCAAGAGAAACAAAGGAGAAAATAAATAAATTGGACTACTTCAAAATAAAAAGCTTCTTCACAGCAAAAGAAATCATCAACAAAATGATAAGGGAGCCCAGCATATAGGAGAATATTATTTGCCAATGATACATCCAATAAGGGGTTAATATCCAAATATATAAGGAACTCATACAACTAAAAAGGAAGACAACAATCCAATTTTTTTTAAAAATGGGCAAAAGACCTAACTAGACACTTCTCTAAAGTAGACATACAGATGACCAAGAGACATTGAAAGAATGTCAAAGTCACTAATCATCAGAGACACGCAAATTAAAAGTACAATGAGGTGCTGGCGAGGATGTGGAGAAAAGGGAACCCTACTACACCGCTAGTAAGGATGCAAATTGGTGCAGCCATTATGGAAAACAGTATGGAATTTCCTCAAAAAATTAAATATGGAGCTGTTATTTGACTCAGTTTTTAGGAATATACTCAAAGAAACCCGAAACACCAACTAGAAAGAATGTATGCACCCCTATGTTCATAGCAGCACAATTTACAATAGCTAAGATCTGGAAACAACCCAAGTGCCTATCAGTAGATGAGTAGATAGAAAAAAAATTGTGGTACATTTACACCATGGAATACTACACATCAGTAAAAAGGAAGGATCTCTTACCCTTTGAGACAACATGGAGGGACCTGGAGAGTATTATGCTAAGTGAAATAAGCTAGTCAGAGAAAGACAAGTATCACATAATCTCACTCATATGTGGAATCTAAAGACCAAAATAAACTGATAAACAAAGTATTATAGATCCAGAGACATAGAAACATGAAACAGACTGTAGAATCTCAGAGGGAAAGAGGGGATGGGTGAGTAAGAACAGATCAACCAAAGAACTTGCATGCATTTATGCAAAACCCATAGACAACAGACAACAGTGTGGTGAACGCCTAGGGCATGGGGGTTAGGGAGTGCCAGCTTGACGGGGTCAAAGGGGGGGGAAAGAGGAATATATATAATACTTTTAACAATAAAGGTAAATTTTAAATGTATGTATTAACTACTTGAGCATGTATTTACTTTATAATCAGGAGAAAAAATCATAAAGATCTTTTCAATTTGAAAAAAGCCAGAAAAATTAAAATCCCTTTATGTTTCCCAATTTAATACTGATACTTGGGCAGTGTTGCTGGACAGAAACCAATTTTATCTTTGTTATTTAACCTGACTGCCAAACCAGTTGTTTACATGGTCATACTATACACACTCCAATCATTTTTCTCACTCTCTCCATCTCCTCTATTTGGAGTTTCTGGGACTTACCACAGAACTCTTTCTGAAGTAAGGCAACCAGTTAATAAATACATAGATAAATAAATAAAATTATTCCTGTCTCTCCCTAATTGTACAGTTTATACTATCATAAGTCCATTTCTTCCCTAAATGAAAGCAGATGGTTGACCATCCTAGAGTGTAAATCTCTCCTGAAATGACAACCAAACCAAACAGATTTCCTGTCTTGTGATTAAAGAATGCTAAAGGACTACCAGGCAAGATGCAAGAGTGGTTTACTGTGTAGTGGTTGCCATGGTTTTGCCTGAGGATGTGCTATTTAAGCTCATCCTTAATTTGGACAGGCATGAGTCTCAGCTATGCAGGCTTAAAAATGGTGCAAAGGGCATGGCTGTTTTTAGATTAAATGGGAGGTGGGCTATAGTAACAGTTAAAAATAGAGGTCTCTAACTTTGAACCATTTGGCTACAGAGTTGGATAAATAAATTAATTGCAGCAGATTCTTTTTAGAAAACAAAGCTAGTGTGACCAAGAGAAAGCTGGTGTCTAGTTAGATGTCGTTTTAAAACTAACATCATGATGTATTTTTTTTAAAACCTGAGATATATGTATATATTTTAAAGGCTTTTTAAGCTTTAAAATCAGCTAGTCCGTTCCCATGGCAGCTTTACGCTATTGAAAAATCCCAGATTGAAATCAATTTCATGTTCTTCGTAGCTAATTTCTGTTTCCATTTGCAAATAGCACTTTGGAGCAAACAGGCAGTGGACTCTTGATAGTTTATCCTTCATTCTGTTAACCATATTATTTTTATAGTGTGCCGTGCATTATTTCTAAAAGAAGGCAGGTGGTCTGTCTCTAGGGCTTTCACATGGAAGATAAGGGAACATATAAAGGCTGTATAAATTAGGTTACAGCCCTGGTTGGTTTGGCTCAGTGGATAGAGCATCAGCCTGTGGATTGAAGGCTCCCCAGTTTGATTCAGTCAAGGGCACATGCCCAGGTTGTGAGCTTGATCCCCAGGAGGGGGTGTACAGGAGACAGCCAATCAATGATTTTCTCTCATCATTGATGTTTTTATCTCTCCCTCTCCTTTCCTCTCTGAAATCAATAGAAATATATAAAATTAAAAAAATAAATAAGGTTATAACAGTTTCAGCTTGAGACTTCCACTCCCTCCTTTTGGAAACTTCAGAGGCTCCATGATGGGCATCTGGTGGTCTGGACATCCCATCCAAATCAGAATCAAGAAACAAAAGCTCC